ATCATCATCACCACCATCAGCAGCAACACTATATCACTGCTACCACCATCATTATCATCATCACCACCATCATCATGCAACACTATCATTATCACCACCATTATATATCCCCATTCAAGATCATCATCATTATCAACAGATGAAAACCAGCATAATTATCACCAACAGCAACACTCTCACCATCACCACCATCATTAATGAGAAAACAAAGTAAATTATAACTCACTTAATAATCATCATCTTCAAATCCACTCCCATCACCAACATCACCAGCAGAAGGATGCTTTCACAAGATTAATAAATAAATCTAGCCTTACCTCGTCTTGGGGGTCTGTAAGATGATCCACTTCCTCCTCCTCCTGACAAAGGATGGTAATCTATAAATTAAAATATCAACATATTCATTCCATTAATATAGTCTAGATTTTCTATAGAAAAACTAAAACTTAGTGAACCCAGCTCCAATCAAATTTACCTGTATCTCTTAATGGCTTTTTCTTTTTAGGTTTCAAAAGACTCTGGGCGAGACTTGTATCATCATCCTAGAGTCATACGCAATGAAATATTTAATGATAACTTTAAAATATTATTATTATAACTTATAAATTATTTGGTATTCAAAGGGTGGGGCATAGTAGTACACTGTTGACAACCCACCTCYCGCTTCTCAAATCTCAGACTCAATCCCTGGAACCAGTTGCATGGAAAGTGGAAAAAGTTATCGACTGGATAAGAGTATCTACATGTAGTGTATGAAATTTGTACAGTATCAAATTGAGCTACTCCTCACAGTATATCAAAGCAGCCTTAGTGCAGCTGCAAATTGAAAGAAAAATTCTGTGCAATATATAGTTAAATATATATTCTCATATACAAAGTTGTACAGGTTTTAGTAAGGATTTATCTGGTAAATAGAGCTATTTAGCCTCCRTGCAACCAGACCCTGAACTATATGTATACACCTATTTCAGAATTTTTTATTCATGGTGCATTTTCATTTATTGACTTCACAAATTGCTCCAAGCAAGGCTGCTTAAGATGATAATTAGTGTAGAGCTATAGCCACTTGCATGAACCATGAATAAATCAATTATAATTAAAAGTACTGCCATTCTCTGGAGCCTTGGCTTGTTACTTGAGGCTCTTGGTGAGACAACAATCTTCAAAATAGGTGTATATCCCAATTTGAGGGCTTTTCTTGGGGTCCTCAAGGTTTTCAAAATTGAAGGTAAATGATTTGATTTGATCTGTGAGTAAGCTGTACCCTGACTTTGATCAGGCCAAAGGTTATTTCAGGGTTTACATATTAAAATTATTGTATGATCTAATGTATTAGTTAGACTAACCGCTTTCTTAAATTTCTTGGACCGATATCCCTTTCCTTCCTGATGTCTCTCCCAGTCTTCAATCATTTCCTTTCTCTTYTCATCTTCTTTCTGAAGTGAAATCAGTCAACATGAGAAATTTAGAGAGACCTTTTAACTCAATGGGGTTAAATATGGTTTAAGAACATTGTCACTCCCTTGAGAATATGTCAATCCCTTGAGAATAATTCCTTATTTGTTTACCAGTGAACTTGAGAAGATCCATAAAATAATGCATGGATCAAAAAACTTTTAAGGGGGAGGGGGGGAGGGGAATGAAACATGGAATGACTTGGGGAAAATATTATGCCCAAACGGAATTTCAAGTCACTCTACACAGTACATGATAATCAATGTGTCAGAAATGAGAGTCAAAYATATAGCCACTACAAAACACCACGTACCAGACACCACTTACAGTAACTTTACTTCTCTTGGAATAACACAGCCGAGGTCAAGTTAGTGTGGGATACAGCTATTGTACTTGTTTGGAGKTAATATACTAGAAGGAAACTTGTTTCAACTTTCTCTTTCTTTAACATACAATTTACTTTCTAAATTTGCTGTAACAATTAATCTAATATACCAGCTATTGTACAGTAAATTATGTTAAAACATGAGAGTCCCTTAGTCACCAAAACATGTGTTTTTGTGGACACTGCCATCTTTTTTCTCCTTCCATGCTGGGCAATATGGGACAAAAGACAGACCCTAGGTACATGTACACATGCCCAATTCTGACACAGTTATCAATACTCTCTCCTTTACTCGACTTGCTGGCAATATGATAATGTCTTACATGTACCTTTTTCTTTTCTTCTTCAAATCTTGCAGCCTTTGCATCCAGTTGTTCTTGCCATCTTCTTCTTGACTCATCAATCCTTGCCTGTAGCTCTGCTGCCTTCACAGGGTCTGAAAAATAAAAATTTTAGGCCTAAGATTAATTTATTACACGTATCTAACAGTTATGAMAAACAAGGGTGGTGTAGAGGTAGTGATCACCTCTGGGGTCTCCAGTTTGGTTCCTGGACTTGACATTAGAGTTTGTTAGGTTTCTCCCTTGACTTGAAGGTTTTCTACATGTGCTAGTTTTTCTCTCTCCAAAAAACATGGTTATTAAAGTTCGATTTCATCTCTGAGTGGGCCGACTGCCCTATCTGAAAAATTTTACATTAGCCCAGAGATTGTTTCAGAGTTCAATCTGTGAGATAGCCAACTGCATTGACTTTGATCAGCCAAGAGTTTTTTTAAGGGTAAGGTCTATGAGTTAATGATGATGCCCAGACTTAGCACATTAGCCAAGAAGGAGTTCCAGGGCTTGATAAAATTGATGTTTAGTTTGTAAGACTATCAGTTCATATTAATCTTTTTAACTGAACAAAATTAAGAAAGTGTATGTGCAAGGGTAGTRGTAAGAGTCTGGTAGTGAATTAATTAGTAACCATAAATGACCTTCTTAGACTTTGGATTCATCTAGCTATTAAGGCACAATTAAAACAAAACAGAATAGAATTTGAACTATTAAAYATTTACCATATTTTTTCATTTCTTGGTGTTGTTCCCATTTTTTTAGGATCCTCATCAACTGTGGCTTGAATTTATGCCATACAAATGCCAAGATGATCAAACCCAATACGATAAACCAGCCATATCGCTCTACAATTCCTACAACTGAGGATAATGAAATGCATATTTAATCCCATGCATTAAAGTGTATATGACGCGAAAAAATATCATCGTTTAAAATGTATAGTTTGTTAGTAATAATAAAATAAAATAAATTAACTTTGTTTATAGAGGAATAACACTAAACAGTAATTCAACTGATAAACTTGTGGTCCTCTGTTAACGTCTCTAGTTAATTAGGGACGGGACCGCCATTAACGTGATCATCCGAGCCATGTGAAGGTCTAACCATTTGCAGCTGTAATTACAAAGGCAGCACCTTCTCCTCAGTTATTTTAAGACCCTGAGTGTTAGTCCGGCCGGGACTCGAACCATGACCTCCCGCACAACAGACCGACGCTCTTACCAACTGAGCTAACCAGGTGGCGGTTAAAATATATCGTAATGAAATGTGTTTCAAAAGCTTATTTCTTGAGATATGTGAGAAAATGAATCACAATTTGTGACGCCATTTTGTTGAYGTGTACTCCAGATTGGGTAGTTRTGCACTAAAYGTATTCGTATGAAATAACAACAAAAGGCATATTTTATTCAGCTTCATTTGATAGCTTACGTAGTTACTCTCCCAATGTTGGGAAACCGAAAAGTGTACTACCTGAAATTAAGATTCTACATTCATACATATTTCGTGTATTTGCAACTAAAACTGGAGACTTGTAAACAAAATGACGTCACAACTTGTGCTAAATTTTCTTGAATTTCTAGAGAAATACGTTTTTGAAACAAATTTAACTGTGATATTCTTATTAATGCCAATAAACWACACATTTTTGCACTTTAAGTATAGTATCCTGCAACATGAATATTCTGCCTTAACAGTGTGGATCAAGGTGGAAAGGAGTGGACCTTTTTTCACACAGTAGCCATCAGCAGTAGCCATGTTGACTGGGACAATAGGTTTTTCCTGTACAGCCTCACACTCAAATGTTTTAGGACAAGATTGTGTGAGTTTTATTCTCATAGGAATATGCATGGTGCCGTGTGATCAAGGTCCATAGAAACAGAGCTGAAGATGGTGAAATCATAGTTAATGRAGTGGAATGGTTAGGAAACTCTATAGAACAAAGCTATTGTTTTGCGTTTGATTTCGTACCGTACCATCACATGACACTGACGGTGCACAATGGACCAAAGCAATGGCTGAAAATACTCATTTCCTTATTATTTTCATGTATGAACACTTTGAAAATGAAAACTTTCATTCGATGACCAAAAACAATGCAAATAAATATTTCAGCGCAGATACAGTTAAGTTACTAGATGATAAATAAGAAAGCATATAAGGCAATATCCTTTTCAATAAACAATTTGTATTAATCACATAGGATTAATTAACAAATAATGAGTATTTTAGAACGTTTTTCAGGTTTAAAATTCTTCTATATTCCTGAATACTATGAACAAACGGAGCAACGTTTCTTTCTCTGTGCAGGGTCAACGTCATACTGTATGACAACGGATAAAGTTGAACAAAAACCTAGAACAATAGGTTTCCCAACCATTCCGCCCCATATTAACTATGGTGAAATTGGAAACTGAGAAGTGTGACAAAAAAATAGAAACAATGCTTGAGATAGTGAAATGGGAAATGTGAATGGGTGGAAAGGAAAGGAAATAGAACTGAASATGGTGAAATTGAAAACTGAGTACAGAAGGGGCGAAAAGGAATAAAAGAGCTAAAGATGATAAAAAACATTACAATATTTCATAAAAATATCAAATCAGTATCGTTTGAAATAAGTAAGCAAATAATTTCAAGATGAAAATAGTCCCAAAATAAATAATTCATAATTAAATTCGGAGTTCGCAAAGTTTTTTTTTTCCTATCAAATGTTAAACACAGCTGCATTGTTCAGAATGTACTCAAAAATGTAACTTTAATTCAACTTTTCGTAAACGGAAGTTAAAAAAAAGACCCAGAAACTTCTAAGCTTTTATACATAAAGTTATGAAGTAGTATTCTTACCGAGGTAGAAGCARTTTTGAAGGAAGAGTGGTGTGGAGTTTTGGAGGACATTTTGTTGTTGTTGTTGAGGACTTCCTTCTACGTGAACATCGTTTTCTCCAGTTGTTTCAACCTCTGGTCCTTCCATTACTCACCAATCAAGCTAACTAGGTYTATTAACACTCTATGCTACCATTGGAAGATGTAGGAGAGATAAATAAGGAGAAAATGTGGTGAAAAGTCGATGAAGTTTTTCGCTTGTTTTGAAGTTTTGCTCTTTCGACGTGGAGCTTTAATACTGGGTGGATTCCAGGCTCCTTCCTACACAGGAACCCCATGAAAAAGTGGTACGAAGGTAAATACTSACCGCTGACCGCTGATCGAACAGTCCAAGAGAATATGTTCATTTTCTCTTGCCAACTCACTTTTCCACTTTCCGAAATATGCTTTGCTTGTCACTGTGCACAAAGGTTTCAATGCGAGGCTTCGTGCTAAATGCTCAGTGATTCGTGAAAGGAGAAAAKAATAAATTTGATTTCGCACGTAGCCTCGTACTAAAACCTTAGTGTGTGACAGCGAAACATATCTCGGAAGTGGACTATTACCGAACATGTACAACACTCATTTCTATGGCTTTCTAGACAGGTGATCTGCATTAGTTTATAATTGAATGAAGAAAATCAATTTTGTAGGACACTCTKAAACAAAACGGCAAAACGTTTATGTGAAATCTTCACGTGTGAAAATAACACCATTTAAGAATTCTTAGCGTGATCGCATTAATTAAATAGCAAAAATCCACTAAAATTGTATTTCGTCGATAATTGTGTATTACACAAAATATCACATGGCCGCTTGGAGATACGGACTTAATTTCGTGTTGCTAATATCTTATACTCGTTCGCTGCTCTCACTCGTAGTTAGTCACCTCAACTCTACTCGCGATCGGCGGATAAAATCCGTCAGTCTCCGGGCGGGCATATAATTGCTTACTATCAATCACGTGACTTTTTGGAGTTGACTGGGGGGCACAAGCGGTTGACTGGGGGGCAACTAGGGGATGCTAAGTCAAAACATATCAAAATAAGTCCTCAAACCATTGTATTTGACTATTTTCACGACATCAAACCAGAAAACAAGAGATCAAAACAACCTC